ATATTTGGACGGAATTGAATAATTAAACTAAATAAAAGACCAAACTAGGCTAGCTATATTGAGGCAAATCAATTAAACTGCTAAAATTAGCTAGGCTAAATCATGTGGGTATAAGAAAATACTAAGTCTATTACTTAACTTATTTTTCCCGTAGAGGACGGGGAGAATTCCCATGCCTCCCTCAACGACTTGCGGGTCAGATCACATGTTTCAAGCGACCCTATTATCTACCTGTCAGACCCCCGGGTCAGTTTGAATGTTCAAAAACTACCCTCTGACCGCGGATCAATTCGAGCACACGCGTCGTCATGTACCTATGTATAATGTGACCAAACTATGGCCCGACTGTGTCGTGTATGCCTACACAGGACATTAAATTTGTTAATTACAACTGAATATATTGTTTACGGATTTAATTTCGATTTCAACTATTCGTGGGAGACTTTAGTGATGTTTGTTGATTTTTACAACGGTTAAAACAAAATAAATACGTAAAAATTTTCACAGTAGCACAATTTGTAGGTAGCCAGTTCATTGATAATTTGTATTCTAAAACATGATGTAGTTTAACATTTTAAAGGATATACAATTAATTGTATCAATCGTAAAAGGTATAAATTTCTTTCGTGAACACTTACACTTAGTCATAAAAAATAAAACTTCTTTTAAAATAAAGTATAACAAGAGTATTTTTGACGGTGCAATGAAGACCTCAGGTTTATGAATAAGAAACGATAGTGTAAGCACAGACAATAGAGAGTATTATATTGTCTGTGGTGTAAGTCTGTAGTACATATGCTGCAACTGATACATTACCAACATAACAAACAACATCTGCAATGTACAGTAACGCACTGCAACAACAATGTCATAGTATAGCAGACTGGTAATAATCATACAGCAAATATATCCACGAATTGATCAAGTATTATTTACTCTCAAGACATTATTTATTCTATAATTGTTGATTTAACATTCCCTTCACGATGTTTAATTTTATGTATCATATGAAAGTTATCCATTTCTTATCTTTTAACTAAACTATTTAACGTACTGCTTAACAAAATTAATTATAAGCACAGTAATTTTTCTCTAGATATAACAGAGGATATCGTTTAGTCGACATTATTGCACTCAAAATATAAACTGACACAAAACTCACTCATACACTTTAAAATTTGTAAAAGAAAGATACGTCCTCGTATGATTCAAAATCCATGGCAATGTCTTTACAACGCATTTCTTACTTTTATTACAACCAAAATGAAATCTTTCATCTATTAGTGGTATACCAATGGTTTTACTAGGTTGTTTCCATTGTTAATCTATAACTCCTTAGATATGCAAATATCCTATTTCATACCACAACTGTATGGCAAATTTAATTGGATTTGTTTCAAGAATTTAAAACCCCCCTATTGGGAAAAAATAACGTGGAAACATACCAATTCGATAAATTAGATAGTGAGTGATAGTGGACAGTATTTTAGTTGATGCAGTGAACTATTGGATCCGTTTCAATTCTCTCCTCACAATAACTAACCTTCACGCATAGCCAACACAGATCATTGCAGTTATATCAGTGTTCAGTAGTTCTTTGTGAACAAGTGAGTTAATTGATTCCATGCAATCTTGTTTCAAACCGGGAAAGGTAAGTAACTTAACTCGGAGTATTGTTGTGGTTGTTTCTTTTTTCATTTTGTAATTGTTTATGGTTCGAAACTGGACCCAGTTGTTCCTGATCATTGGGCTTTAAATAAATTATCCTGGCTAATGAAACAGCCGATATTAGTCAGTAACAAAGCTACACAGGTCATCACACACCATTCTACACTCATCCTTCATTCATATTTGGGTTAAATACGTTCCTAGGTGGCGTCTCCATCACAATGATTGATAATTATTGATCAACAGTTTTATTTATTTATTTATTTATTTTACTTTGCGTAGCTTTTGTAGAAAACTAGTAAGATTTACTGCACAATTTAATTCAAAGAATGTACATATGCTTCGTTTTTAGTAATATTCTTTTATCAAAGTTCGTCAGCGAAAAATTTAATAAGTTTTGGAATGTATTTCAACTTATGTCGTGTTATTGGAAAAACTGTATTAAATTTTGATTAATTATCAACACAGTATATCTGCGATGAAGATAATCAAAATTTAATTGAGAATTTGTTTGCCATCACTGCAGATTTAATATTGCGTTTTAAACGGGACGAAACGTTAATTAAATATTTTACATACCATGAAACCAAAGTTGGTAATATACTAAAGCAGACCCAGGCATGGTATATACTTACTAACTAACTAACTGTCATTCACTTAATTGTGTTTAAACGTTGATTTAAAATGTAGTTTTAATGTTAGTTGATCAATAAGAGACAATTGTTTACAGCCATAGCCTGTCATAGAGTGTGATCATTGGAGAAGAATTGCCGCTTCGTTTACTGTTTTATCCTATGATCGTTTATGGCGACGTGATAGGTGGTATAGTTTTAAATGGTTGTTGTAATTATTTTTGGTTTGACATTTCTTTAAGGTGGTGAATAACACAAACTCCATTTTACTCAAGCAAGACACTTTGTCTGTAGCTCAATTTATTTAACTAAATGTTTTTTAGGCCTACTATAAAACTTCAACTACTCTATACGGGATTGAATATCTACTTCATGGTAGTACATAGCCTATATAGCTCTACGGTATCAAATTAATATCTCGACAGTGTTGTAAAAACTGAAAATATTTATGTTTACTAATAGATATCAACCTCATTTTGTTTTTGGTTAATAAACATTAGTTAAAGAGTTGTGCATATAAATAAGAAGTACTGTAGTAGGAACAATTCTATATCCCAATACCCCCGCCGCAGCAAACCTGCAGACTAAGCGAATTTCCATTTGCCTGATTTGATTTTCAATTAAATCCATTCAAATAACATTAGGTTTAACGAGTACCTAGGTTTGCTGCCTACAGGGTAATAAAGTGTGTTTTTTGGTAAATTTAATAGCTTAGTATAAAATGAATAGATTGGCCATTTCATATGGGCTTTAAAACTCGTTAAATTATCATTTTCTCCTTATCAAAAAATATCAATAATTTAACCTAACCTAACCTAAACTATGACAGAAAGAATTTGGAGGAGAGCGAAAGATAGGATTTGGGGGAGGGAGAGTGCAGCCCCCTCTCACGCGGAACAAGAGAGATGTCCGCGGACCAAGATGGATGTTTCGGCCGGATCCGAAATCTACTTGCTGACCCCCGGAACAAAAGTGATGTGAAGAAATTAGCCTTCAACCGTGAAACAAAAGCGGCAAACGCATTTTTAAATTTTCCCTTAAAAGTGTTTGGTGCACTTTCAAGCATAAATCCGGTGGAATGGAAATGAAACAATAGAGTCTACAGATACACTGAACCCAGTACTTGTTATGTTTTTTAAGACGTTTTCATCGGCGTTAAGCGGGTTTGAGACTACGGGATGGAAGTCTATAATTATTGTTCAGTGGCTGAAGCCCCCTAGCCTGTAGCCCAGTATCCAGATGTTCTGGGCCACAGGAAGCTAAGGTAAACAACCCACAGCTGTTAGGGTAAACACGACGCCATCTTGTTCAAGATAACTCGCGTTCCGCACTCTAACGTCACTTTAAACAAGTGTTCTTTGTTGCAACAACAGCTCTATGGCGTTGCTGTGTTACTTTTTAGACCACTTTTGGCTGCAATAGTGTAAAATGTTTTTGTGATTTCTCAGTTTAGGAGTTTCAAAGTGGTTGGTTGTTTTTGTGCTTTATTGTTTATTCATTCCAAAGTTGACTAGGGTTATTATTTTTTTGAATCTGTACGCTTTATTGGATTGCGGTTTTACCATTCAGTTATTTTTTATCAAATTCCACTTTTTAGTGCAAGGGTGATGTTTTTGTGCTTCAACAGTTTAATTTGTTAGTTGCTGTGTTGTTTAGCTTTTTTGAACTAGGTATAGTGTAATAATTTTTTAGTTCTTTTGGAATTTAGTCGATGTCAGGGATTGATTTTTACATTTCTGCTGAATGACTGACCCAGTGTCTGTAGGTACGTAATTTTTTGATAAGTTGCTGTTGCTATACAATATTATTTTATACTTTGTGTTTTTTATGAACTCTGGGTGTTTTCGTACTAGTGGAGAGTTGTAATTCCATTTCATGTAGTTTTTGCCTAGTTTATCGATGTTTTACTTGTTCATATAAGTATTTTGGATGTGCACATTTTTTGTTGTTCTGAAATGTTGTGGACAATAGTGTGATTTGTTATTGACCCCTTTTCAACCACTCAAAAATTTACTTAACTAGAGAGTGCTATTTTTATATTTATTTTGACATGCATTATTTTCGTAAAAAACTATTTAGTTGGGTTTGAATGTAAACATTTTTATTCCTTTTTCAGTTTGCTAGATATTTTATAGCTAAATTAAAACTTGATTTTTTATTTAGCCTACGTTACTTGCTTTAGTTTTAGTGTTATTTATTATTGTGTGTGTTTTTTCATCATTATCATTTGTAGGATAATGATACTCTATGGAGAATATATACAGAGACGACATATTTATTTGGTAGCACCACAGTAATTACACTTCAATTCGTGTTTTACAAATACATTACTATACCTGGTAAAACATTTTTCCCATTTGGGTATCCCTATCAACTCATTTTTGTTCAATCTTTTAATGATAAATCTTAAGCCGAAACCATCAGTATCACTGGTGAAACATCTACGTTTCATCATCCAATATCAATATTTGGCTAGTCAAATATAAATAAGTGTTTTTTATAGCGTCATATGTTGAACATTGTTTTTATTTGTTTAAGTTTTCAAAACATTTTTAAATTGTCGTTATGTCGTCCTCTGCATACATTTTCACCCCACCTGTACCCTATAACCTGTACCTGCCCCATGTACCTCGTACCCTCTACCTGTAGTTGTAGTGTGTGTCGATGTGGTGTAGTGAGCACGTTGCACGCATGTTGTAGGTCACGTGATGTGGCTGGAGGTGACCCCTGTCTACTGCGAGGGCCCCCAGGGCACTCCCCTGCGACACTCCGCGTCCTTCTCCTGCCTAAGGGGCGGCGGACCTCGGGTGCGACCTCACCGAGCCCGCACAGCTACCCTACCCTCCGCCACTCTAGAGACCGACTACGGCTTCGTCGCCCACAAGTACAAGTACGGACCAGTCCCCGAGGAAGAGTACGAGGAGGATGTAGGAAGCAAGAAAGAGTTGAGCTCTATCAGAGACGTTCTGCTCAAGAAGAGCGCGAGCCTGTTGAGTCCCACGGCTTGGTGGAGTCCTAGAAGGAGAGTGAGGAAGGATGACCGGTTGGAAGAGGAGGAACAACAACAGAGACGATGGAGAAGTTTGGGCGCGTTGTTGCGAACCAACGCTCCACAACCTCCGCAGGCGCCATCGCCTAGAGCGCAGTCCTTCTACCTCCTGGACGACTTCCTCCGTCCCCAACAGAAGGGTCGGAGAGAGAAGGCGACGTCCAGTTCGGACTCGCTGGAGTTGTCGTCGCCCATGCCACCCCCAGTGCCACCGCCCCCGCCGCCTCTCAGACTGCTGAGGTACCGTCCTCCCTGCGACTGCCTGCAGTGTCGTCGCGACAGGGACATCGCGCTGCTCAACGATACGGTAGGTGCTGCCTTGCCGCATGTCTGGGGATGGTTCTTGGGATGTTTTATTTGCATGCATGATTTTGAACTCTTTATTTTATTGTCACAGGAACATATATTTATAAGTGACATTATTAGAGAACTGGACGTCGGTCTCCGAAGTCTCGCGTTAAAATACCGCCAATCACCGAATCACCTATGACTTTGGCTATGTGTCCCGCTAGTCCTAGGCCTAGCCTGGGCCAGAAAGCTTTTTTAAAGTAATCCGGGCAAAAAATATAGTGTCTTAGGATGTAAAGGAATGAAAAGATATGTACCGATTGACACCACAACCAAGGATATACCAACTTATGAAAAATCATATCATTATACTTGATAATACAAAATTGCAGCTTAAGATAGTTTCAATCATGCACACCTTAAAGATATTACTCTGCAGGATAATTTACTACCATCCTTACGACTTTCAGTTCCAGGCTAATGAAATTAGCCACGATGATTCAAGTAGATTCGAAACTATAAACTTTTTATGGGGAAAACAAGGTAAAACAATAGAGCATGAAGCTGTGTAATTGCATTGACCGTCATCAGCAGCCTTGCTCGTGAACTTTGGCCCGCGGCAATTTGCAATCAACAATTTGTGCACAATCACTCCCAGTGGCTTCTACCAAGGATACATCCTTGCACATTGAACTAGTCTCTTGTGTAAGAGGAATGTAGCTTTATGAAAGGGTAACGTGTTTTTTTCGTTCGTCTTTGTAATATTTTTTTTAGGTTTTTTAATTCTTAGATGATTCCCCTTTTTGATTCCTCGCTCCATATTGTGCAGAAGTTATGTTTTGTGAAATCCTCGGCTACGACATAGACTTATCTTTAACAAATTGGTTGAAGTTTGAAGTATTTTTCCTAAATCTATTTCGCCGTGTGTGGCTTTGGTTGTGTGGTAATTTAAAAATGTAAACAAGTATCAATTTTTGTATTCAAACAAGATCATTGCCGTAATAAAGTGAAACCCACGATAGCTTAGTGTAGACATTCAAATGAATTCAAGTTTGACTGTACACTTTGAATCAGCTAACACCAATGATTATCGTTGGAGATTCGGGCCCATAGGAAAGGCAAGCATACATTTGGAAAGCAAATAAGAAATAAGGAGTTATTCGTAGAGATGATCGGTAACTAGGGTCTACAATCTAGTTTCGTTCTGTTTTTATTCATTGCCATGGAGGAGGTGATCTTTCACGTGCGTAGTTTTTAAAGCCTTAATCGAAAGATAGTTTACAGATTAAATTAATTGACCAGAAAATGACTTTGACCATGAGATGGCATTGCCTTGTGCAATCTTCAATTGCAATCGTAATTACAAAAGAAAAATATAACTTTGCCATACTAAATTAAATTTGCTCTTGTATTACCAGCTTCTACTAAATTTTTATAAAACAAAAATATAAAAAACACAAGTAAAAGTTAATTTATAACCACAAAATGTACCTAATTTTTTAAACTCTTAACTTTTACTCTGCACAACGTATTGCACTTTGTATGAAAATCGCATAACCCAAATTGGTGAATTACCTTCCATGTCCAGTCAGATAAGTTGTATCCATCACGCTAGGTTACATGCACTAAGGGCTGCATTACTTGTATTGGGGGCAACATTTTAATACTAATATACTAAGCTTTTAAACCATTGACTCTGTAAACTCAATTTTAACACTTAATTGTGTAAATTATTTTTCGGAGTTGGTATCAGCTGTGTGTCAGTTCGATACAGATGTAGACATTAGAAACATGTTTACTAAGTTTGTAGGGTTTCTTTAAAAGGGGTATGGTAGTTAAAAACGCAATGCATCAATACAACCGCCAGATAAATAGGGAAAATGTCCTATTATTGCTTAATCTAAAATCCATTATTTGTGTGAAAGTAAATAATAACAACATTACAATGGATAAATAAGTTATTTTTATTCCCCAAAATCGTATAAGAAATATACAAAAATTAATAAGTCATATTAATATTAATATGACACTTCAAAAAATATGTTTTGAAATTCTATATAAAGAGCGTTTGTTTTTTATTTACATTTTACAATATACAAGGTTTATTAAGTTAAGTTTTTTTGTTTTTATTTTTTTTTGTGATTACGGTTTAATCAACTCAATTAAACTACGTTCCACGGATATTACAACAGGAAATATTTTGATATAAAATCCGCGCTAAGTTTTTTTTTAGTTCTTACTAGCTACAACCATACAACGTGGGAAATAAATACCTTCTACTTGCATAGATATTAATTCGTAGTCATAGTTAAACTTAGTCACCATATTTTTTTAACAACAGTAGAAAAATTATTATATAGGTATTCATCGAAGTCCTCTCAGGAATTTAAAATACACCTGCAACCACAATGCTTTTAAATGAGTTTTGATTTTCATAATTTCCCTACAGTATATTTATTTTGTTTTGAAATTCAAAATACTTTTCAATCAGACCGTCGTGACGAGTGTATATTTGTCTGCGAACAGCAAACTGTCTGATATTTACTCACAAAGGTCGTTTCGCAATCAAAGTTGTCTCTGTTTGTTTGGCTTCAAACAAAAGTGACAAAGTCCTATGCGAGGAACCAGTGTGGTTTGTTTTACTCGGAAATATACATCCTCCCCTTTGTGGTTTTTGGTTCTGTGTTTGTACGACAGATCTAAAAATATATATTACAAAGCAAGATCAGTTCATTACAGCGCATAAATGGTTTGAGAAGAAACGTCCATTTTAGGTTATTTTGTCGTTTTAGATTTGTTTTAGTTAACATGTTCATAAAACCTATGTGCAATATTGACTTGAATGCAGATGTAAATTTTATCGACTTTAGTAGAGAAATTTCCTTAAAAGAGTTTAAATTAAGCTCGCCTGAAAGACCTATCTGCTTCTTTAGATTCAGTTTGTGGACTTAAAGGCGAGGTTGACCTCCGAACCACCAGGTTAAGTCATTCAATCAACCAGTTAAGACCCAAAAAATATTGATATTCTAATATATCCATAGAAAAACAAAATACACACATTTTGAAACTTTTTTTTTATAAATATTTCTTCGTGTTCAAATAATACAGTTTGGGTAGTTTGCTAAACTAACAGAATCGAATAGTCCAATATTTTTCACGTTTTTACTGCAAAATTCAAAATAGGCCTACATCTTTAGAAACCATTCAAACGTTTTACAGAAAAACTCTTACACAACTAAAAAAACACACATCTTTCTTTACAAAATCCTGAATTCAATTTAAATCTGTTCTTACCCAAGAAATACAAATCTTGCTTCTTTTTAGATACCTTGTTTCAATTTGAAGGAACTCGATAACTCAAACAGATCAATCTAAGGTAAACAGATCTAATATCCGCTGTGTACCTAGACTGCATTGATACCGGGACGGAAAATCGTCGTTGCTGCAGAGATAACGGTTTTTTCAATTCATGCGTAGTGCTAAAGTATGTCATTAAACGCACTAAAAGTGTTGTCGAACTCGCTCATTTTCCGTTCTCAGCTTCACCTGGGTCCTTTAAAACTAGAATTCGTGTCGAAAAAATACACTCTCTGATCTTTGTGATTGGTTAACATGTGTTATATCAGTTACATACAATTTAGTTCATTTGTTAAATAATACAGTATAGTTTAGTTTTATATTCCAAGAATCACTTACATTTTATTTGATTTTCAATTAATGAAATATCTTTATGTCGTTTACACACATATTATTCCACTGCTCCACTGCATCTTACCGTGGCGGAAGTCAAGTGGTAAGGCGGGGACACACTTGTCATACACCCTTCCGATCCTACTACGATCCGATTTGCGGGATTCCAGAAGGATCGGTGCGGGATCGGAGGGGGTGAACACACATGTCATACACGCTTCCGAACCGGCAACCCATCTCCGATTTCCTCCACCGAGTAGATCAACACTCGCCAGTCTGATTCGTAAACGTAAACTACGTGCAGAAGGTGATAAATACTGTATGTTCAAAAACTTTTGTATTCAGGATTTAGCCATGGTTTGTCTAGGTGAAGAGGAAGAAAGTCAGACAACTCTGGAGGGCAGTGGAAAACGGAGAATTTGGGTCCATTCTGCATGGAAGGAAAGCAGAAGTGCCCATTTTATATATTATAGGTTTTTCTCTCTCGAGTTCGTTTAGCTCTCCTACCCGTCCGATTTTCATGATCGTGGTCTCGAATTGAAGGTATGCACGCACAGATTTCAAATCAACCATCGGCATATATTTATCTCAAACAATTGTTCCAATAAAGGTGATTTTAAAGAAATAACCCGTCCTGCATCCGACAAACGAATAGACTGCAGTGTCGGTGCATGATCGGAGTCAAAATCGGAGTAGGATCGGAGTATGACATGACGCGTGTCGGAGAGGTGTAAACAACCGCGTTCAATGTTATGTACCATTCCCCTCTCCGACAGTCGTACCGCAGTATGATCGGAGTCGGATCGGAAGGGTGTATGACAAGTGTGTCCCCGCCTGTAGGAGGTAGTAATGACACAGTGACGTCATCGGTTACGTCATGTGTAGTTGAGATGTGAGACCTCGATTGATGCTGTTGTAGGTTGGCAGACGAGGTGACGAGGTCTAGGTTGCAAGCCTAGACATTGACCGAAACATCTCGTGTGAATTGTACAGGGGGTTCCTAAAACTACATTACAGCAGTTGATCAATTCTTGCAGTGTTGACTTCAACTGCTTCTTATCTCTGAGTAGGCCTAAATCACAATACCCAAAACGCCAGACTACATAGTTAAACACAGATAGTTATACAATCTAAATAATGTACACGAGTAAAGAATGCACAATGATACATTTTACACAAACTTACTGCAACGATTTGTGAATTATGAATGTACATTTATTTTTCGGTTGAAGTAAAGAAGATGGATTGTTGTTCTTATTGTTTACTACTTACATATTTCTTATTATGTATCCAACATAAAAAGGTTTCAGCCAAGTATAACCTACTTGT